CTGCTGGTTCTGTTTTATCCTGACAGCTTACTGAATTTGAGGAGACATCGAGTGCACTGGATAGGGAGAAACAAAGAGGAAATAAAGACAGTTGAAGGACATTGGAAGGGAGAGTTGAAAGCTCTGTGTGACCCAGAGAGCAGGGAACAGATGTCCAGCCCATGGAATCTTGAGCCAATGATGCTTTCACACTACCAGTCCCTCAGCTACACAAACCTGGCTCCAAGCCTCAGTATCTGTTCTAGGTAAACAGGGACTGCTTGCCAGGATGTGAGCTAGGACACATCACTTTAATTGGACCTGCAACACTCTGCCCTGGCACTGTGACTAGGCCTCTAAGACATGAGTGGGAAAGAGGCAGATGAACAACCACCCTAGATAATGGGGTATTTATGTCCTTCCCAAGCCCCATGCACATACAATGAGATAACATGCCCCTACTTGGTACAAATGCTGTTGATGTGGAATATAAGAGGAGTATTAGCTTGGAATTCAAGTGGGACTGCCACATTCCAGGCGTCCTAAACTGGTTTCGTAGGCTGCAGACAAGATAATGCCCCTGATGAGGGGACAGAAGACAGCCTGAGGCCCAGAGTAACACATGCTGATGCCATATTCCCTGAAGTTCTGTAGCTTCTGGGAAGACTAAGGACATTGACCTGTGCCAATTCCAGTCTCCCTTAACTTTGTGGGTTTCCTACCAGACTCCAATGACCACTCTCAACTTGGATGACTTCGAAACCTGAAACTCCTACCTCAACTTTCAGAGTGGTATTATTGTCTTATGCCACAATGCCTGGCTCAGGTGGCTGCTTTTCAACTTCATTTAGTGAGTCATTAAAATAAGGGTTTGAGGACAATGAACAGTTAGACTTAACTATATTCAAAACAACTTATTTCTGTGAGCCTGAGTTTCAATATCTATAGAATAAGGACAGAACTCCGTTCAGGTCCTTTGATGCATTATAACAGACTCAATGATAAAGACAGTACTGCTCACAATTGGAAGACAGTGGACAGTAAGACAGGAGGGCTGATGGGACCCTTCTTCTTTTACGGGAGTTAGGACCAGAGCCTGTGTCTACCTAAACTTAATCAGCCAGGCTCAGTTACTCGTCCTCAATAAGTGAATTAAAAGAGGCAAATTAGTTTATTGTGATGTGCTATAATACAGGTGCTCTGCAGACAAGGTGGATAAATCTCTCTGATGTTTTGGAAAAGCCTAGTCTATCTATTGAGTTTCAGGCCAGCAAGGGGGTAATAGTGAGACTATTCTTAAAATAAAAAATTTTAAAAGAGAATGAAAGGAAATAAAAAATTCATTATAAAAATAAAAAATGTGATTAAATTGGAATAAGGATGAAAATAGAAGTTAACTCTTCTTGCCATCCAAGTAACTAAGCTACCCAAGCTTTATAATGAATTTCTACCCATCGCCTAAACCCTCCCCCATTCTCTGCTCCTCTGTCTCTTGGCAAGTATTGGTTCAGGTAGGATGCATATAATTCTTCAGCAGAAACATTCTCCTTGGCAGGACTATTTATTCCCAGAATGTGATTGCAAGGGAAATTTGAATTTCATTCAATCTACTGTTTGCCTAATTGTTAGCCAAAGAGAGAGACATACGTGTCTCTTTAGAATGTCTGTACTCCTGTCAGGCAGTCAGGTGAGAGGAATGATGACGGGGTGGGGACCATTGTGTGGAAGCATGCACGGTACTGTCACTGGCAGCTACGCTGTAGTTGCCAAGAGTAATGACAGAGTTGAAAGCTAAAGGTGGCTAACCCACCACAGCTGGGTAGATACAGAGAGCACAGGAGGAGCCAGCTTGTCCTTGGGTACACCCTAATTATTGCCCTCTGGTCATTTGATCCTCTGGTTCTCACATCTAGAATCCATCCCTAACAGTTCATCCATACCCCACATCTCTTTGTAAGTGCCTGATGGCCCCAACCTTAGAGTGACGTCTGTTTGTCTCAGGATCTCCTGATCATCTGGAGTCACCATCACTCAGGGACACTAACTGAAGCTCTTGAAGGCATTAAGGAAGCAGAATATGATGCCATTCAGACAAGTTGATCTTCATGCCCCCAAGTTCCTTTTCTCTCCTTTACAGGAGGCATAAACTCCAGCAGGGTACAGCTGACCTGTGTCCTTGTGGGCTCCCATGGCTGCCTATTTACCACATTTCAGATGAACTCAAGTCTTGTTGCTTTGGTCAAGCAGTCAGTCACTTTTTAATAACTTGTCTTGACAGTGTCTATCCTGATAAATTTTTGTACTCTTCCCGCATTTTGTGTAGATTTGTGTTTTAACATTTCTTTTTTAACTCTTTTGGGGGAGGCCCACCACCCAGCTGCGAAGTAAATCACACACAGAGGCTTATTCTTAACTATGAATGTCTGGCATTAGCTTGGCTTACTTTCTAGCCAGCTTTGCTTCACTTAAGATTATTCCTCCCTCCTTTTTGCCTCTGGGCTTTTCCCATTTTCTTACTTTTGTAAGTCGCAAGCCATGGCTTGCCATGTAGCTGGATGGCTGTTCCCTGGAGTCCTCCTCCTTCTCTGGCTCCTTGAACTCTCCTCCCAGATTTCTCCCTGGATATATTATCTGCCTGCTAGACACACCTATCTTTTCTGCTGCCTTGCTAATTAGCCATTCAGCTCTTTATTAGACCATCAGTTATTTTAGATAGGCACAGTAACACAGCTTCAGAGTTAACCACATAGAACATAAACAAAAGTAACACAACTTAAAATAGTAAGATTCTACTAAAGATTTTGGTTTGAAAACATTTTAAGCATGAAAGTCTAAGTTAGTTTCTGTTGCTATCAATCTTTTGTTTCTTCTGAATCATCAGGGCTGAGGTAAAGATGAGCGTAGGATTAGCCATTCTCACCTTATTACTATTAATGTCATCTTCATGGGACTGCGTAGGTGGATCAACAACTAAGAGCAATGGTTGCTCATCCAAAGGGCCTGCCTGTGATTCCCAGGAGCCAAAGGACAGCTCACAACTCTCTGTAACTTCAAACATGGAGGATTTGCCACCATCTTCTGGTCTCCATTGTACCTGACATGCATTTGAGATATATATATATATATATATATATATATATATATATATATATATATATATATATATATGTGTGTGTGTGTGTGTGTGTGTGTGTGTGTACACACACATATACAAAAGGCTTATACACCTAAATTACTTTAAATTGTTTTTTAAATAATACATACATGAAGAAAACCTTTTAAATGATCTGGGATCCCAAATATATCTGCCTTTTCACTATTTGCATATCTGGTGCCCAGGAGGCAGTTGAGGCATCAGATGTCCTGAAATTGGAATTACAGGTACTTCTGTGCTATCTGATATAGGTGCTAGGAATACTACTGAACTCTGGAGTACTCCATTACTCCTATCACTAGAATGTGATAAAACTCTCCACTAGACGGTTGTCAAAGGATTCCAGTTATAATGTATTAGAAAAATATTCATAATTTTAGATATGCTTTCCCTTTTTGGAATCTGTTAAGGATGTCCTGGAACTCATTATGAAAACAAACTTGGCCTCAGAGAGATTGTTCTGCCATTTTCTCAAAAGTGCTGGGATTATAGCATGCACCTCTAAGCCCAGCTGAGATGTTTTTAAATTGACTCAGATATGTTCTCAATAGTTTTTTTAATATTTAATTTTATACACATAAAAATGCTCAACTGTGTTTGTGTTTTTACCTGTAGCATGTTGTGTATATGGCAATGAGAGGACATTGTACTCAAAGGTGTTTGCTGTGGGATGTTCTGTATGTCCTGTGGGAGCCCTTCTTGGGTTCTTTGTGGCGTTACCCAGCAGGTCCGCATAGAGGATGATTAGGACCATGGGCCTGAGTGCAGGTGTCTGAGATGGTCTGCACTTGGCTATGCTGGGGGATGGTCTGTATGTCAAGTTGTTCTGATTGATCAATAAAGCAAGCCTGATTGGCTGTGGCTAGGCAGGAAGGATAGGCGGGACTAACAGAGAGGAGAAATAAAAGGACAGGAAGGCAGAAGGACTGACTGCAGCCGCCGCCATGACCAGCAGCATGTGAAGATGCCGGTGGGCCATCAGCCACGTGGCAAGGTATAGATTTATGGAAATGGACTAATTTAAGCTATAAGCACAGTTAGCAAGAAGCCTGCCACGGCCATACAGTTTATAAGTGATATAAGCGTCTGAGTGATTATTTTATAAGTGGATTGTGGGACTGCGGGTGACAAAGATTTGTCCTGACTGTGGGCAAGGCAGGAAAACTCTAGCAACAGGTGTCTATTATGTACTTCTCTTATGTGAACTTTAGAGATGAAATCCATGGTGTTGTTTGCTGCAAGTGACCTCAATGGCACTTACTAGGGTTTAAAATTATTCATGTATGTGCCTGTGTGGGTGTGTGCATATGCCACAGGACAAATGAAGGGATAGGAGAAAAATATCTTGGGATATTATGTGTTTAAGTAGTATTATTTGTTTAAACAAAAACCACCTTTACCAAGTGAGATAATTGGAATTCATTTGTGGTTCTGAAAAAGTGTTATGAAAGTGTTTAGTCCTCAGAATAAACCAACACATTCCAAAAGAAGTGACAGCTGTATATCATTTTCATTTGCAAATTAGATTTATTATTCAGATGGTGCTGTTTTCCATTATCTTTGGATGAAAGTATGTTTACAACATGAAAAGGAGACAATATTTTAGCTGTATCACACTTCAACTAATCTCATTTGAGAATCAGTGATATCTCAGTGGGAATGGTCTGTGGTGTATGAGACTGGCAAACTCATCACCATATGAATAAGGAAAAAAGGAGACTGCAAATCTTCAGACTACACATATGTGTCATGGCTCAAAAAACCATAATCA